GGGCTCCCTGCTCTGCAGGAAGCCTGCTTCTCCCTCTCCCACTCCCCCTGCTTGTGTTCCCTCTCTCGCTGTGTCTCTCTGTCAAATAAATTAATTAAAAAAAAAAAAACCATATGGCCCGCAAAGCCTAAAATATTTACTATCCTTCAGAAAGTTAATGACCCATATTAGGCATTGGAAACAAGGGAACAAAACAAGTGACCAAGAGGAAAAAATCATGCATTTATGGAGATTATATTCTGGTTGGGAGACCTAGTAAAGAAGTAAAAAGTATCTGTGACTAAGTATACAGACAAAAGTAAAGCATGGTAATGTGAAAGGAGTCTCAGTATTGGGGTAAGAGCTCTTAATAGGGTGGTCGTAAGAAAACCTCAATAAAGTGACCTTTCAGCAAAAACCTGAGGTATGAACCATACAGTTGTCTAGAGCAAAAAAATCCCAAGTAGAGGGAACAAGTACAAACGCCCTGAAAAATAAAGTGTCTGGTGTATACTGGAACAGTTAAGAGACCAGTGTGGCTAACAGCCAAGTGAAGGGGAGATGAACAGGAGAAGGGGTCAGGGGAGAGATAGACACTCAGATCACGTGGGGTTTAGATCAAAAAGTCTTTGGCTATTTATTTCTCTGGATGAAAGGGAAAACCAATGGAAGGCTGTGAGCAGAGTAGTAACATGCTTTGGCTTAAGTTTTAGCCAATGTAATGAGAATACAATGTAGGCTGACAAGAGTAAAAGGAGAAATGTGCTCCAGAAGGAGCAGCAAGACAGGCAGGAAGAAAATCAAGAGAGAACTCTATCAAAGAAGTCAGAGGAAATCTGAAGAAAAACTATCATTCACTGGGACAAGGACTCTACAAAAAGAGAGTCAAATCTTGGTAACAGAAAGTATCCAGTAGATTTAACAACATGAATACCAAAAATAAACATAGTAAGAGTGGAAGCGATAAAGAGAATGTGCAATGAGCAGCTGGGTTGTTTCTAGTTCGCAGCTATTACAAAGAAATTTGACCCATAATGAGTGATCCAGTTTTCCCACATCTGCACAAACATTTGGTGTTGTCACATGTTTTATTTTAGCCATTCTGTTAGGTGTATAAAGTGATATTGTGGTTTTAATTTGCATTTCCCTAATGGTTAATAATACTGAACATTGTTCATGTGCTTATTTTCCATTTATATATCCTCTTTGGTAAAATGTCTGTTTTTTGCTCTTTTCTAATGGGCCTGTTTGTTCTGTTATTGATGAGTTTTAAAAGTTCTTGTGTTTTCTCTCTTTTAACTGGTCTTTCACAGAGCAGTCTCCACTTTTGATGAAGTCCAATTCATTGATTTTTCTTTTTATAGATCATGCTTATGGTGTGAAGTCTAAGAAGTCTTTGCTTAAACCGATATCCCTAAGGCTTTTTCTGTTTATTTCCTAAAAGTGTTATAGTTTTACATTTAACATTTAAATTCAAGTCTCTGTTCCATTTTCAGTTAATTTCTATATAAACTGCAGGACTTAGGTAGAGGTTCCTTGTTTTGCCTTTGGATGTCCAATTGCTCCAGCATCATTTGTTGAAAAGGCTATCTTTCCTCCACTGAACAGTTATTGCATCTTTATAAAAAATTAGTTGTGCATATTTATGAGGGTCTATCTCTGGATTCTCTGTTCTGTTATTTTGATTTATATGTTCATCCGCCAGCCTATACCACACAGTCCTGATTACTATAGCTATATAATAAATACTGAAATTGAGTAGACTACTCACATTTTATTCTTCATTTTCAAAATTGTTTTGGCTATTGTTGTGGGTTGAATTCTTTCCCTTCCAAGAAATAATATGTTCTAGTCCTAACTTCTAGTACTTCAGAATGTGACCTTTTTTGCAGATAGGGTCTGTAATTTGCAGAAGTAATCAAGTTAAAAGCCATTATAGTGGTCCCTAATCCAATGGCCAGTGTCCTTACAAAAGTGGGGGGAATTTGGAGACACACAGCAAGAACATCATGTGAAGATGAAGGCAAAGACTGGGGTGATTCTTCTATAAGCCAAGGAAAATCGTCAGAATCTAGGGGAGAGGCATGGATAGCCTCAGAAGGCTGTGAGAAAGAGCTCAGATTTCTAACCTCCAAAACCATGAGAAAATAAATTTGTTGTTTAAGCCACTCAGTTTGTGGTATTCTGTTATGGCATTCCCATAAAACTAATACAGATATTCTAGATTCTTCGCCTTCCCATGTAAATTTTAAAATAATCTTGTCTATATCTACAAAAAAAATATTACTGGGATTGTGACAAGAACTGTGTTAAACCTGTATAGTAATGTGGGGAGAATTAACATCTTTCCTATGTTGAATTTTCCAATCAATGAGCATGGTATATCTCTCCATTTGTTTAGATCTTCCTTTCATTTCTTTCATTAGTGTTATACAATTTTCAACATACAAATAATGTACGTTTAGTTAAAATTATGCCTAAGTATTTTTTTAGCAATTGTAAAAGTACTTAATATTTAAATTTTGGTGTCTATGTGTTCAATGCTGGTATACAGAAATATACTATTGATTCTTACATGTTTAATTTGTATCCTGCCATCTTGCAGAACTCATTAATTCTAGTTTTTGGTAGAATCGTTGGGATTTCTACTTACAGAATCATGTCTCTTGCAAACAGAGAAGGTTTTCTTTCTTTCTGCTCTGAATGCCTTTTTCTCCCCCTTTCATTCCTTATTGTACTTATTATCCTTTTGATTTCTGCAGGGCCTGTAGTGCTAGCCCATTTCATTCCTTATACTGATAATTTGTGTTTTCTCCCTTTTTATCACTCTTGCTGCAAATTTGTTGATTTTATCAATCTTTTCAAAGAACCAGCTCTTTGCTTCATTGATGTTCTGGATTTCTTTTGTTTTCTCTTTCCCTGATTTCTACTCTCTTCGTTCTTTCTGTTGGTTTTAGGCTTATTTTGCTCTTCTTTTTCTACTGTTGTCTAGTATGATTCTATTATGGTTGATTTTTTTTACTCTTTTACAACTATTGAGGTTTGTTTTATGGACCAGGATATGGCCTATCTCGGTATATCTTCCATAGGCACTTGAAAAGAATGTGTATTTAGCTAATGTTGGGTAAATGCAAATTAGGTGCTTTAGTTTATGGTGTTGTAAAGATATTGTATATCCATGCTGATTTTCTGTCTAGTTGTTGTATCAACTGTCTCCAATTATAATTGTAGATTTTTCTTTCATTTCTTTCAGTTTTTGTTTTACCTGCCTTGTAGCTCTTTTGTTTGGTGCATATACATTTAGAATTGCTATTCTTCATGAATTGATCCTTTTATCATTATATAATATCCCTATCTGTCTCTGGTAATTTTTTTTGTTCTGAAATCTACTTTATCTAACATTAAGAGAGCTAGTCCTGTTATCCTTTGATTAATGTTTAAATGAAACATTCTTTTCCATCCTTTTGCTTTCAATATCATATTTGAAGGCAGTTTCTTGAAGAGAATATATATTTGGGTCATGTTTTTTAATTTGTTTTGCCAATTTCTACCTTTTAAATAGTCTATTTAGACTACTTACATTTAATGGAATTATTTACATATTAGGACTTAAGTCTGACATTTTATTTTTTTACTTGTCTCTGTTTTTCATTTCTTTGTTTTCTTTTCTTACCTTCCTATAAGTTACTTGATTATTTTAGAATTTCATTTTCATTTCATTTATCTAGTGTTTTTGAATGTACCTCTTTGTATAGCTTCTTTAGCTATATATTATATATATATGTGTGTGTGTGTACACATATAAAACGTATCATAGTCTTCTAGTGTCATCATTTTAGAAGTTCAAGTGAAGTAGAAAAATTCTGTCTCCCTTTATGTCCCTTCAACTTCTCCCCTTTACAAAAAAACTGCACAT